GACCCTGTGGACGAGGTTGAGACGACGCGACGTCAAAGACGACGCGAAATTGACGTGTACACCTCGTGTTCACTTCCGGGTTTTAATCTGGGACGGCTTGTTTGTCTTTTTCGAAGCAAATTTTTGTTTTCTTGCTACCTGTTTATCCCTGTATTGTTTTCAATTAGTTGTCAAGTTATGTGCAAGAAAAGGATATACGATACTGGCCAAATGTTCCCTGATGAATTAGTATGAACATTCAATAAGTTTTTTTTTGAGAAAAGGACGTATATTTCGGTATTTTGAAAAGTGAACTTTGTTGCATTATTTGGAATAAATACAATAGCTCCAGGTATTGTTTAAAAGCTAAATGCTTTATTTTGTAACCTATTCAATCAAGTTTGTCAACTGTTTAGTATAAATATGGCATTAGTGCTTATATTGGTAAAATTTAATACTGTTTACGATAGTTTTTCACGCTGGAAAGCGTATTTTTACTTGCCCTACTTTTCCGCACTGTTGTGACAGAGAAACTAAAATTGATTGAGTTTTTACTGCTTATAAGTGCTTTTATTCTCCTACCTTCACAAGTTTTCCTGATTTTAAACAGTTGTTAATATTTTCAGTTCAGTTTGTTCTAAAATGTTAGTTTTGGTAAAGAATACTAGCGGTATTGAAGTGGTTATTAACAATGCTTGCAGTTTTGTTGATTTGTTATGGCGATCGAAACTATTTGTCGAAAATCAACACGTCCACAATTTTAGCGAAATACAAGAAAAATTAACCTTGTCAATGGAAAAACTTTAGCTAGTATTATTAAACAATACATGGAAAACAATTTAGGATAATTTTTATTATGCATAGTCTCATTTTTTTTCATAAAAAGCAAAAATCTCTGACGTTCTAGAGAGGACGTGAAAATTGTATTTTCGCGTCGTGAATTCATCAAAGACGACGTCGCAAACCAGAAGCTGACGTGAGTTGGCGCCAAATGACGACATCCACGTCGTCTTAGAGGTCGCGCCGTCTTTTCTAAATCTGTCTAATATTTATGCGAAAATATTACGAAAGTTTTATGGCTTTGTTTACGTATTTAAAAACAGTGTTTTAGCGTTTATATGCAAATTAGCAAACCAAAGAAGACAAAGATTACATATTCACAGATTTTACAGCCATATACAGGTACGGAAGTCTCGAAAAGAATACTGCTGTGCTCCCTTGGGCCGACAGGAGAATGTGTAGCGTGCTCAATATAACTTTACTTCTGCATGTAGGCAGAAACGCCGAAAGTTTTATTTGTAGGCCGGCAGCGCATTTTAGTACTGTGTCTGTTTGTTTTAATGGTCTTTGAACACAAATATATGAATATTCGCCTCCCATGCAATTATCGAGGTGGCGGCGCCAGGGAGTTTACGAATGTAAGTTGGCGACGTCAAGACGACGGCTAAACAAACTGTTTGAAATATATTATTGTATGAAAACCTTGTCTTGTATTTACTTTTGTATGAATTTAAAATAGTTTCGATCCAGGAAAACAGAGCTTTAACACTCCGAGCAATGTTGTTCAACTCGAAAAACTACACTGTAAAAACTGATTGGTCGAAATGACCAATTTTTTAGGTTGCAACCATTAGCAATTGGTCATTTTGACCAATTGTTTAATTAGTTAGTCGCATTTGACCAATTAAATTTGGTTCCTTTGACTATTACAAATTGGTCGAAAAAATTGGTCATTTTTCGACCAATTTATATAAGTTATTATAACCAACTTTTTATTGGTCATTTAGTTGAGTGTTCACTGTTAATTTCAAGGAGTTATTTCAACTCCACTGAGAATTAAAAATTGGGAGTGAAAAAGTTAAATTTACTCGGCCTACGTCTTCGATATATGCATTCGAACATATACTCCACTGAGGGTCAATTTAACTCCACTTAAAGGAGTAAAATATAACGGAGTAAATTTTACTCACAAACAGAATAACGGAGTAAATTTTACTCCTAATCAAAATAACCGAGTAAATTTTACTTAGTCATATTTTTTACTTCACAATTAATCGTATAGTAGAAGTAAAAATATCGAGTAATATTCCGCCTAGTTTTTACTCGGCCTGTGTAATATAACTCGACCATTACACATAGGAATCCATAAGAATGGCCGAAACTATATTAAAGTTTCTTCAACCTTGAATTAGGGCGATATTTGCTATACAAATTTGTATAGTGAAAGCCTGCAGTTCGTGTAAAATCATCCGACAAAGACACAAGATCTAGCTGGTTGACGCGCTTTTTCGTAAATGTTGCCAAGTCAGATTGCTTTTAAAATTAGCAGTATCGGCTTCTTATTGTTCAATCGCGCGCGACGATCAAGTTTTTCTCGTCAAATTAATGTACTGTCATTGCTCTCAGTATATCAGTTGTTTATTTTTTATCAGTTGCTGCGTAAATCTGTAATTTGAACTTGTGGAAAGTCCTGCTGCTGAATTCTGCTGAATATAAATTGCGCCAAGTGGAAGTTTCAAAGTGTCAACCAATTACCATGCTTAGAATATATCACGTGTTGTAGTAATTCAATCTTTTCACACCAGCGCGCTAAGTTCGATCTTTTGGGAGCAAACATTCAAACAGGAAAGATTTATATTCAAATTTTCTGCTTATAAAGATCGAAAGACTTAATAGAACACAAGGAGATTGTTTTCAAAGGTATGTTTCTTGTGTATTTACTTATTTGTATGCGGGTAGTTACTTGACAGACTGTGTAGTTATATTTTTAAATCGAAGGCCTGTATTTTATAGTCGCTTTGTGCCGATTTTAGGAAGGCATCTAAACGTTCAGTTGTAAATTTCGGTTTACATAACAGTCTCTACTTATCTGTATTGCTAAGAAAATCGTATACGGCTTATTTCTGTGATATACATATGTGTTGTTCTGTTAAGTATTTGCTATGTTGACACTTGACATGTATACTTTTATAATAATGTGATTTGTTTGAAATATGCATAATTACACTATTGACGAAGCGTCTTCATAAATTTCGAAACGTCGACTCGAGTTGTTTTTTAAGGTAGTATTTTTACATTGGTACTACCCACACTTTTAAAGATAGTATTAGTATATATTCACATTAATAGCATGTAGACAGCCTTTCCCAATGTGTGGCTTTATCAGTCAGCCACTCAGCCTAAAACATGTGCAAGGGGCCGCTTATATAAAGGCAAGCCAGTCCAGGTAACTAACCTGGTTATAGCCCGCTTTCACTGGATGAATGTCTGTTTACATGAGCCTCTTTAGATGAACATGCTTGCCAAAACAAATCACCCAGACTGAGTTGTATAATTTCCAATAAAATAAATTGACATACTTTTGCACACAGTTTTGAAATGTAACTTACAAAAAAAATCACCGAAATCTTTTAATCCATTGAGCCACAATGCGCCCCAGTATGCCCTACTTATTTTTTTGCTTGCTTAACGCCAGACGCTTTTACTCCTCAGTAGGAAAGCTCTGCAGCTTAATGGGTTAACCAAAAAATCTGACAATGTCTCTAGTTAACCCATTGAGCCGCAATGTGCCCTAGTGCGACCGACTTATTTTATTTACTTGTCTACCGCCAGCAGTGGTGTAACTTTACTTTCTTGACCACTTGCCCTCAGGGCAAGTTGGTCATAAAGATTAGTTGCTCTGATTAAATTCACTTGCCATCAGACAATGGCTGCTTGGGGTACCTAAGTAGGGGGTATAAATTAACACATTAAGCGCCAGCGCTCTCCCCTTGACGAGTAAAATCGTCTGGCGTTAGACAGAGTAACATACTAAAGTAGGGTGCATCAGGGTGCAATGCGACTCAATGGGTTAAGGGGACAACATGTCAACCTGTTCTCCCACTGTGCTATATGGCTATGTTATACTGCCTCAGATATAGCTTTGGTGCACAAAAAACGAAATTTGAACCAAGTCCATGCACTATAAAACAAAATATATCTGACAATGAATAGTGGCAAGGCAACTTGCCCAATCGGGCAGCAAGATAAAGTGTTTACTTGCCCATCATGATATTCACTTGCCCATCATGATATTCACTTGCCCCAGGCAAGTGTTAAGTTACACCTCTGGCCAAATGATTTTACTCGTCAATGGGGAAACTCCAACTCTACAGCTTAATGGGTTAATATTCAAATTGATTGGGAAATGTCATTTAGAAGATTACATTATGCCTAAACAAAGCATAAATACCGTGCCAAATCCTGGGTCATTGTATATAGTTTATATGGAAAATCTTAGTTTGGCATTAGCAACATTTTGGGTCAATTGTGGCAGTATCTTAAGTTTATTTATTTAGCTTTGCCAACTAGGTGTCACCACAACAGCATGTGCCAATTACTGTTGGCTTTTTTACATCACCCACCCTGTCAACTTTCCCTGTAGGAGGAAACCGGGGTACCTGGAGAAAACCCATGACTTTCGACAGAGTGTTGACTTTTACTCTTCACATGAGGACTGGGTTTGAGTCGCATTGAGAAAGTTCTCACTGAGGCTTGAACCTGCAGCCTTAAAGGTGAATGGCAAGTGCATATAACAGCTTTGCCACCGAAGCCCCCCATCTTCCTAAAAAAGTCCAGCTCAGTTCTATATTATAAAGTAAAACACAAGTTGAAATATATAGAATATTATAACAAAGTCTGGATCTCACCAAAACTGGGTCAGCTCAGGTACACAGGTGCCATCACCTCATATAAACAGCCACTAAATCTACCTTGCTGGATTATATAGAATGATATTTTTCAATTAGGAATTTTGGAAAAAACAGTTTTTATGCACCAGTATTTTAAACAGTCTTTTACCAGTGAGAATAGTTGTATTGGATGCAGATGTTACTTCAGTTGCATGCTAGCCTTACATTAAACATGTCAAGTGAAAGCATTTGAATTTTGTATTTCTTGCTTTGTACACTAACCAAAAATAGGAAATTCATTGTCAATCAATCAATAATTTGCTACCATTATATATCAACCTTAATATGTATTTTTTTTCTTAATAGAGATTGTATTTAATATGGATTCATTATATATCCTGATCCTGAATGAAAAGTTATTAATAAAAGCTTCCCAGCAGAAGGCAAGTTGTCTAAACAAGTGGCAATATATATAATCATTAATGGCATTTTAAGTACTGCATAGTCTATTTGGAAAATGTTATTCTTTTGCTGGAGAGTCAGTTTATGGATTAACAAACCTGACAAGGAATGGAGTTGCTGACTTGTGGTATGAAGCTTGTACTTTTAAATTTTAACTAGTGAACTTGTATGGCATGCTTGATTGAGCAGTGACAACACTACATGCAGTACAGGTATATTATACTAACTTGTAAATATTCTACATTGAAGAGAATTATGTTAACCTTTTATGTGGCAATGGGCTCTACCTTATTATTTTTTCTGTCTAATGCCAGACAATTTTACTCATGAAGGAGAGAGTGTTGCCACTCAATGGGTTAAAGCCAACTTTCTGTAGATGGAAATTTTGAACAATAACTATGTAATAAGTACTGTGCCGGGAATGGAACCTGTTGCCCTGTGATTCTGAACAGTTCCTTAACAGCCGAGAGTCCATCAAGCCCTGAGAGTCCAAGCGCCAAGAATCCATCAAGCTAACCAAGAGTTCATTTATACAATACTAGTGTCATCCCGGTTTATTTAATATACTACCAGTGACACCACTATCATGGTATAATTATACAGAAAGTTACATCTTGGCAAAAGGACTCTTTAGGTCAGAGGGCTGCAGTAGAATTGCAGGGCTGCAGGTTCAATTCATGCTGGCAGGCTTGTAATTGTATTAAAACTGTCTGTATACCAGTACCAGTGTGGGTAGTACCAATGTGAAATTGCTGTGCTGAGTGGTTATATTACTACCTGAAAAAAAAAGCAAACAGAAACTGAATGTTTTGAGCAAAGACCCTTCGCTCGAAATGTTGAGTTTCTGCTTGTTTTTTTTTTTAGGTAGTAATATAACCACTCAACACAGCAATTGTAATTGTATTCCTTTGCAATTGCTCTCACATAGTTCTAAGGTACCTGTAGCTCTAGTTTATTTAATTGTCTTATTATATTGTAATGATATATTTTTTATTAAATTCCATGTATATAATATATACATGTTCAGTGATGTAAGACTCACAAATTTTCTTCATTTTAATGCAGTGTATAGGTTGTGACATTAAATTGGTCGAAATGACAAAAAAAATTGGTCGAAATGACCAAAAAAAATTGGTCACCTGGATGCATCTGAGAGAACCAATTAAAAATGGTCGTTTTAACCAATAAAATTAACCATTTATTAATTGGTCAAAACAACCAAAAATATTTGGTTATATTAACCAATTATTATTGGTTGAAATGACCAATTAATTAATGGTTAATTTTATTGG